CAACCCTGCCTTCCCCTGCCCTGTGGGCTGAGAGGCTGGCAGCCCACACCACCCACTGCCAGGAGCCCCCAGGCTCTTGGCTGCTGCCGTGCTCTCCGTCACCTGCCTGGAGTGACAGGCAGTACTGGGCAAGGGTGGCATCGCCAACCCCCAGGGGCTGAGCTCTTTCTCTGTGAGCTATTTGTGTGTGGGGTGTGCCTGTGTGTGTGTGTGTGTGTGGAGGGCGGGCAGCAGTGGCAGGGGGACAGAAATGGAGCCCAGGATGTGGGGACAGGGGAGGGTTTTCTACCTTTTTGTATCTTTGTAATCAGAGAGAAGAGAAATTTCTATGGTTATTTTTACGGATGGTCTGTTCCCAGGACCTGGAGCATTTGTTTCACCAACAGCCCCCTGCCAGTTTCTCTGGGGCTACCAGGACCACAATCCCAGTGGACTGGAGAAACAGTGCCAGGCAGTCCTTAATGCTTTGTTGGCACTGCTCTGTCCCATCTCCACTGCGGGGCAGCTGGCCCTGCTGCCCTCCACTCTCCCACCACGCAGCTCCACATGTCTCAGTGCCACCCTCCTGCCTCGTGTCCCTCAGCCCCCTGCAGCCAGGCCTCCCTCTGCCCTCCTGTGGGACCCCCTCTTAGGGCTGCCCTGTCTGTGAGCTGGGGCTGTGTGCCAGTGGGAGCACACTGAATGGGGCAGCAAATTCGKCACCAGAAACCTGCTGGGGAGGAGACAAGCTCTGCGGTGCAGTCCTGTCCTGTACCAGGATGGTCCCACTCTCATCAGTGCTGGTTTCTTCTGCTCAGCAAGTGAGCACTGTGCTTTTTACCTCTCGGGTATTGTGCTCTTTAATCTGCATGTTACAGAGCAAACCTCTGTTGGTTTCTGGGTCTGGGCAAGGAGCTGGATGACCCTTACCCTGCCAGCAGCAGGCTTGGCTTTTCCCAGAGCCGGTGCTCACWCTGCAGAGAGCTAGCATCCACAGGAGTATGATGTGGCTCCAGTTTCAGGGTCCAGCATTGCCAAAAAAAGTTGTATCTAGCTGGTTCCCTGTGGGCTCTGTGATCACCCGTTCTCCCCTGAGTACCACAGGACCCCAGCTCAGAGTGGTCTGAATTTTGGGAGATAAACAGCACTTTGCCTTCCCTGTAAATTCAGGCTACCCTGATGGTGTCTCTGCTCCTACTGGCCCTGCTGTGAGATGACACTTCTCTGTGCCTACCCCAGCCCCAGGCCAGGGCATTTGGCTCAGGGGGCCGGCATGTTCCCTYTCACCCCCATGGTGCTCTCGGGGCTGCATGACCGTGTGCTCCTTACTGCCTTACTACCACACTGCCATGGCATCTTACTGTAGCCCAGCCTGACATGTTTACAGGAGAGGACTCGTGCCACTGTCCTCCAMGCCCGTGGGGAGGCCAAGGCCTCTTGGCTGCATCCCCGAGTCAATRGGGAGAGCATGGAGGGAACAGAAGGGCTGCTGACTGGGGGTGCCATGGGTCCCCAGCACAGCCCTGACAAGGCAGGCTCGCTGTCATCCTTTTCCCAGGGAWGAGGAGAGGATGGCCTGCTGACATGTTTACATGCCACTGGGGACCAGTGTGCAGAGGGAAAGCTGGCCCCACATGCTGGGAACAGCCAGGCCCCTCCATGCTGCCCATCTTTGCCTTTGGGAACAAGCTTGTTTACAAGTTTCTCTCYAGCTGTGCAGTGCCAGCACCAGAGTCCTGGGAGCCCGTCCCTGCTGTGCTGTAGGGCCCATGTTTCTGCCAAGTTGAGCATGGGGCTCTTTATGCTGCTGCCAAATGGAGAGCAAGTGTCAAGTGCCAAAAAGAAGAGAGCAGCAGAGCTGGTGGCCATCCCTGCAGAGCTGGTGGCCATCCCTGCAGAGCTGGGCCAGTCGAGAAGCAGGAATCTGTTTCTTGCAGACCAGTCTGCAGCTTGGTCCCTGATTGTAGTGCTGTGACCTGGGCTCTGGGGAGCATCCTCCTTGAGTTTGGGTTTTTTCCTTTGGGGGATTTGGTTGGGTTTTTTTTCCTCTCTCTGTCTCTTGACTGTTGGCAGGGAGTGGGGAGATGCCCATGCCCCACCTCCGGCTGTGTAAAAGTGTATCATGGAAGCGCCAGATTTGGAAATAAAAGTCTATAAAATGGTGCTGGCGTCTGTGCTGTCTCTCCCTGTGCTGGGGATCCATGGCTGGGGCTATGGATGCAGTGCCTGGGCTCGAGGTGGTGTTGGCAGGGGCCTTGGGCAGGAGCTCACAGCCRGTTCCTAGGCTGACCAGGAGTCACTGTGGCCCAGGGCAACAGTGGTCACCATATGGACCAGTGAAGATGGGATGGACCACCAGATGGGGTCTTCAGGTGTWCTCAGTTGCTTGAACTGGGCTGTGTCCAGGCTGGTTCACCCGAGATGGGATTGGCTGTGGTGGTGCTCAGTGGCCCYAGCCATGGTTGGCAGGGCTGCAATGCCACAGTGGCAGTGGTGAGCTGTGTGGCTCATTTTCCAAAGGCTGCRTGACCTCAGCGGGGTCAAGCTGGCTGCCAGCAAGGAGAAGGAAGTGTGGGGAGGGGAAGCTGAGTGTGATCCTGGTGCTTTCTGTCCCTCCCCTTTTGTTGAAGAGGAAAGAGCAGGTGAGCAAAGGGCAGCATTGATCCACAGCGCCCTGAGCAAGGGTCACCATCCATTGTCATCCCTCTGTCCCTTAAGGACTCTGTTACCTGAGCAGCAGGGACTGAGTTCAGGGCAGCCTTCAGGAGTTGCACTGGCGGTGGCAGGAGTCTGTGGTCCTGTCCTGCAGCCCTTCCCGAGGCTGCCTGGGGGGTGAGGGCCAGGGAGAGCCGGTGGGGAGGGGTCACAGGCACAGTGACCAGCCTGGGGTGCAGGTGGGGGGCTGGAGTGCGGGAAGGAAAGGCACGGGTGGGGACAGGGAGCGGTGATAAGGAGGCAGTAAATGACATAAATGACACGGGGTGCTATTTGCTTCCAAGCAGGAGCCCTGTGACGGCCTCATTCCATACTGGGGGAGTGGATAAATGAGGAGGCAGCAGTGGCATGTGAGTGCCCATGTTGGACATGCCTTTACCTGAGCACTGAGGGCACGAGGGAGGGCCAGGGATGTGTGAGGGGTTGAGGGAGCAGGCTCAGCCCCACAGCCTGAAAGCTGTGGAACCTGGGTTGTGCTCACCACATAGAGCCACGGTGGCCACAGGCTGCCCCCACCAGGCACCAGGGATGGAGACATGTTGCTTTTGCTCCAACCCTGGAAAGTGTGATCCTGGATGTCACCACTCCTGCCACTTGTCAGTCCCATCCTACCGCCCAGGGTCCCAGGACTCTGTAATGACTTGCCCTGCCCACTGCCTTCACGCCCTACCTTGCTACCAGTCAGACAGCTGAGCCTGGATTTCCACTGCCGTGTCCYCATGGGCCTGGGCCAAACGTGACTCAGAAATTTCCTGCAACCAATTCCAGGTTGTGATGGAGGTCACRGAGGTGTGATGGGTTCAGTGGAACTATAGTGCCCGTGGGGGACCTTTGGAACAAGATAACAGCTGGGTCTGTGCGAATTGTGTGAGACCAGGGCAGTCCGTGGGGCACAGCACACCTGTTTGCAGCAGGTAAGCAAGGGTCTGGGGAAAATACCCTGGATGCCATGACCAGAGGCTGCAGGTAACCCTTGTTGTCCTGGCCAGAGCTCCTGCTCCAGGACATGGGGAACAGACACCCRTGGGAGTCATGGGGGCACAGGAGGGTGATGGCGGGACCCCAAGCATTTCCCTGGGGAGGCAGCTCTCAGCAGGAGGTTGGCACCAGGTTGTGCCCAGTGGCAAGAAGCCCCCTGCCCTGCCCCATGGCATGGCAGCATCCTGGATATGGCTGCAGACCAGGAGCTGAGACTGTGCTAGACAGTCACCAGAATGGGATGGCTCTGGGGGCAGTGGTGACAGTGCTGGCTCTGCCACAGCTGGGGAGCCCAGCACACCAGGGCACCAAGGGGACCATGGTGGGTGCTGTGCAGCAGTGAGGCTGGGAAGCTGGGCAGCTTCTCGGCAGGGCAGGAGGAAGGGCAGGAGGCAGGGAGCGGTGTCTCAAAGATCATGGGCTGGTTTCAATTAATAGGAGGACGCAGAGCGTGCACCTGACTGGCAGCTAGTGACCAATTTGACCACAGCAGATAGGAGAGCTGCCTGCACAGCCCCAGGCACTCAGTGAGGGCATTGTGGTTCCATTTGCAAGTGGGCAAGCACCTTAGGACTGGGCAGGGCACCAGCTGGGTGGGCTAGGAAGGATGGTGCAGCTCAGCATGAGCCCAGAGCAAGACCAAGCTGTGGATTTGTAGTTTCCTCAGTCCCACCATCTCAGCCCCGTGAAGTGTGAGACCTCAGTMCAGCCCAGCTCCTCTGCTCACAGGCTCGTCCTGCTCTGCACTGGGGGAGTCAGGGGAGGGCACTGTTGGAGGGATGGTGAACTGTGACATTTGCCAGGGGTTCACATTCCTGCTCCCCTCATGTGTAAAGGGACAAAGTCTGCAGACGGGGCTGTGGGATGGCTGGGGCTGTGTTCRGCAGCTGTGCTGGCCCACTGCCCTGTGCAGTACACAGAGGGGAAGGGTGGTTGGCACCAAGGTGGGTCCTGCGAGGGCAGGTGGAGGGGGAGCACAGACCCCACCCATGCATTCCAGCGGGGCAGATGGGGCTGTTGTGGGGCAGGAGTGGGTAGCACGGACTGCTGGAGCCTCAGTTCCCTCCCTGCCCACCTGCTGACTGCCTGCTGCTCTCCATTTTGAGCTGCTGCTGCTGCTGTTTCAGGACTCCCAAACCGTGGYTCATGCCTATCCTCAGGACTATTCCTGCCCACCTGGCCAGGATGGGACGGTTCTGTGGGGCAAGTGGAGCTGGAGGAGGGGCTGCAGGGTGGGTGGGCTGCTGGCTGCCCCTGACTGTGGRGATGTGGCTGAGCTGTCCCTTGTGTCCCTGCAGTAGACTGGCATTCCGGAGGRCCAGGTGGGCATGGCGGCAGACATGGCCCTGAGCCACCGAGCGCCCCACGAGGTGCTGAGTGAGGCTGAACTGGAGGAGGTGGCGCAGAGGAAACCTCCCACTAAGCCTTCTCTGCGTCCCTGCAAGATCAGGTAAGACCATGTGGCCAGGGGGACGTGCCTGGACTTTGCTGGGCATTGCCCCAGGGAGCTGCAGACCCGGGGTTTCATTTCCCTAAGCCCAGTACCCWTGTCCCCACTCCATCCTCGTGCCTGGGGGGACACCAGGCTCCAGTGGATGGAGCTGAGGGTCCCACAGATCCCATTGCTTCCCAYGGGGCCCATCCACCCTCACTGATGTCCCCAAGCCCCCTGCACCCATGCTCATCCTCAACTCTCGCTCCCTCCCTGCCAGATGCTCAGGCTCTGTTGTCAAGTCCCTGCTGTTCCGTTTCCTGCCCTTCCTGCGCTGGCTGCCCCGCTACCCCGTCAAGGACTGGCTCCTGGGGGACATTATTTCAGGCTTCAGTGTGGGCATCATGCACCTACCCCAGGGTGAGTGATGCCATGCCCAGGGTGCCAGGGGCTCCCCACTGGTGGGGTGGCCAGGGAYTGGCCATTGGTGACATTTCTCCCTGCTCTACCTTCCAGGGCTTGCCTATGCGCTGCTGGCTGGGCTGCCGCCCGTCACGGGTCTCTACTCCTCCTTTTACCCCGTCTTCCTCTACTTCTTCTTCGGAACATCAAGGCACAACTCCGTGGGTGAGCTGAGGGGCCACATGCACAGCAATGGTGGGGAGGGAGCAAGGATGTCCACAGCACAGCATTACCACATCAGCAGTTGGGGGAGACCATTTTGTGCCTTTACTTCACTCCACCAAGAAGGGGGTTAGCCAAACCAGAGCCGAAGTACAGTGTGTGTGCTTTGAGCCTGGCCTAAGCAGAGGGAACCCCTTGAAAGGTCCTCTCAGAGAGGTCCTGGTGCCCACCTTGAGCTCCCTGCCCACATTGTACCTGTTCTCAGGTCCCTTCGCCGTCATCTCCGTCATGATTGGGAGCTTGACAGAATCCCTGGTGCCCAGTGAGAACTTCCTGGAGTCCGTCAATGGCAGCAATGCAACAGTCAATGAGGAATTGCGGGATGCTACCAGGGTGGAGCTGGTGGCCACCATCACCGTCCTGACGGGTATATTCCAGGTAAGGTGGTGCCGGCCTAGTCTAGCAGAGAATAGGAGACCATAACCTGTGGGTCATTTTCTGCCATTTCTCCTTCCAGGTGGCCCTGGGCCTCTTGCAGTTTGGGTTTGTGGTCACCTACCTCTCGGACCCGCTGGTGCGTGGCTACACCACTGCTGCCTCTGTGCACGTGCTCGTCTCGCAGCTCAAGAACGTTTTTGGCGTCTCCCAGGGCGAGCAGTCAGGGCCGCTCTCATTATTTGTGGTGAGTGGGGGCTTGCTGGCACCCAAGGACCCCTGGTGCTCACCTGTGGGGCACACAGAGGCCTCCAAAAACCTGCTRTGGAGGCATCTGCTTTCCTGAGCACATTCCCTCCTCCTGTGTTCTCTAGACCGTCATCGATCTCTGCAAGAAGTTGCCACAGACCAATGTGGGCACCCTGGTGACTGCCATCATTGCCATGGTGGCCATCTTAATTGTGAAAGAGCTCAACCACAAGTTTGCTGCCAAACTGCCCATGCCCATCCCCATCGAGCTTATCACGGTACCCAGAGCTGCCCCAGCTTCCTGAGGGGATGCAGCCAGGAATCCCTGGCATATCCCTGTCCCCTTCAGGGTGGGATGGGGTTCCTTGGCAAGCGCAGCTCCAGAGCATGTGCTGTCCCCCTCCTCTTCCTCCATCACAGTCCCTGTGTAGGAAGGCTCTGCCTCACTCCAGCCATTCTCCCACAGATCATTGTTTCCACTGGCATTTCCTATGGCGCCAACCTGAATGACAAGTTTGGCATCTCCGTGGTGGGCAACATCCCCAGCGGGTGAGCAGGGCCTGGTGGTGAAGTGAGCTATGCCAGGGCACCGTGCTGCCCACAGCAYCCCTGTTTGAGCCTCATCTCTCTTTCTTGAACATAGGTTGAAGCCGCCTGTGGCCCCTAATGTCAGCTACTTTGGGCAGGTGGTGGGCAATGCCTTTGCCATTGCTGTGGTGGGCTACGCCATCTGCATCTCCCTGGGCAAAATATTCGCCCTGAAACACGGCTACAAAGTAGACAGCAACCAGGTGATGCTCTGAGGCACAGGGCCCCTGTCCTGGCTGAAAGCTAAGCTTGCCCTTCTTGCAGCCAGATGAAAACATGGTGCTGCCCTAACACTGCTCTGTCCCTGCAGGAGCTGATTGCACTGGGCCTCTGCAATTTCCTGGGAGGTTTCTTCCAGTGTTTTGCCATCAGCTGCTCCATGTCGAGGAGCCTGGTACAGGAGAGCACAGGGGGCAACAGCCAGGTGAGTCTGGGCAGCGCTGGCTCCCTCTTCAGSGCTGGACCAGGGGCAGGAAGCACAGCAAGCAGAAGGGGCTCACCCCTCTCCTGCTCTCCTTCTGCACAGGTAGCTGGTGTCATCGCATCCCTGGTCATCCTGGTGACCATCCTGAAGATTGGAGAGCTCTTCCGGGACCTACCGAAGGTACGTCTGGTCCCACAGCCTCTCTGTCACATTCCACCCCTTTATCTATCCCATGGCATGGTGATGCATTAGGGGAACAGCAAAGTCTGCCCCCAGCTTGCCCTCAGCCCCCTCATAGCTGCAGAGATTTCTCTCCTAGGCCATCTTATCTGCCATCATCATCGTCAATCTCAAAGGCATGTTCAAGCAGTTCAATGATATTAGCACGCTCTGGAAGTCCAACCGGGTGGACCTGGTAAGGTGCTGGCCGTCCCTGGGGCTGTGCCCTTGGCCYTGGAGAGGGTTTCTGCACCCTCCCTGAGGCCTGTGGCAGGGAGGCTGTGCTGCTGCTGACTGTGTCCCCTCTCCAGCTGGTCTGGATTGTGACATTTGTGGCCACCCTTATGCTGAACTTGGACATTGGGCTGGCAGCCTCAGTGGCGTTTGGGCTGCTCACGGTCATCTTCCGCACCCAGCTGTGAGTACTGTGGGGCTGGGGCTGGTGCCACATCCCAAGGGCAGGAGGAGCCCAGGTGACCGCAGCCCCTGGCTTTGCTCCCCACAGCCCTCACTACTCCATCCTGGGGCGCATCTCCAACACCGATGTCTACAGGGACGTGGCGGAATATGAGATGGTAACAGCACCAGCGGCGGGGGAAGAGCTGCCTGCGATGGGGGACAGTTCAAAGCACCCCCAGTGGTGGCTTGCTGAGAAAAGGGGCTAGGGGCATTTTGGTGGGGGGAGGGAAGGGATGGAGGCTCCATCCCTGGGGTAGCACCCTCCCCATCTGCCCCCAGGCACAGGAGGTCCCTGGCGTGAAGATCTTCCGCTCCTCCTCCACCGTCTATTTTGCCAACGTGGAGCTGTATGCTGAGGCCCTGAAGAAGAAGGTAGGAGAGCCACCAGACCCACAGTGYACCCGTGCCCCTGCCTGCCAGCAAGGAGGTGGTGTTGGGGCAGCTGGGGACACAAGGCTGCATTGCTTCGCAGAGCGGCATTGATGTGGACCGCCTGATTGAGAAGAAGAAGAAAGCCCTCAAGAAGCTGAAGAAACAGCAGAAGAAACTGGAGAAGGAAAAGGCAAAGAAGAAAAAGGTGCTTTCTTGAGGCAGAGGACCACTCCTCCAGTCCATCCTGCACCTCTTCCTTGCCTGGCTCTGACGCTCMTGGTGGGAGCAGTGGTGGGGCTCGGTGGCCCACGGGGTTCCCAGTYCAGTTTAGGGCCAGTGGGTGAGAAAGGCACTGAACTGGGTCACAGCGTCACACCCAAGGTCGGTGGGAAAGCCGGGCTGTTAATGATTATGTGGTGGAGCCAGCAAGTCATTAACTTTTGGCAAGTTAATCAGAATTAAGAGCAAGAGCAAAGGTTGGCCCAGTGCCAGCTAATGAGCCCGGTGCTGGGGAGAGGGGTGCATCTTGATGCACCTGCAAAGAGCCCAAAAGTGAGCRTGTGAGAGGGGCACCCCCTCCTGGGGCCACCCACTGCCTGTTYCTTAACACAGCCAAAGAGCCCCACCAAGCCCCACTGCACTGTAGGGCATGGTGAGCCCAGGGGAACACTGCCAGGACAAGGGTGCCACCAGCCCTGGAGCAATGACACCGGGTCTCCTTCCTCCCCCAGAACGCAGAGGATGGTCCAGGCGTGGCGGTGGTTGAGCTGAGTGTGGGGGAGAGCAGTGCGCCCTCAGAGCCCACCCTGCACAGTCTAGGGCTGCCCCAGCCCGGCTTCCATGCTGTCATCTTGGACTTCAGCCCCGTCAGCTTTGTGGACACCGTCTCAATCAAGATCCTGAAGAATGTAAGAGGCTGGGGAGCAGGCAGGACAGCAGCCTTGCCCAGGGTGTCTCCAGGGCCCTGTGGGGTGGCCCGATGGCTCCTGCCCATCCGTCTTCCTGGGTAAAATGTATTTTGCCATTTGCAGATCTTCAGGGATTTCCGTGAGATAGAAGTGGACGTCTTCATTGCCAGCTGCCCGGGTGAGGGGGATCTGTAGAGTCATGAGCCCCTGCTGGGCACGGCCACCCTTTGACACACACACAGCCTGGGGTGTCCCTCCATGGTGCTCCCATCCCCAGGGTTTCCCCAGGGGACAGATGCTGCAGGTTGTCCCATGGATCCAGTGTGAGCCTCGAAGCTGGGTACCTCGTGGTGACCCTGGTGTCCCCAGCAACACTGGAGGCGGGAGGAGGTTGCCCTGGGTGGGTGGGTGGGGCTCCGCTGGGTGCCATCACTTTAGGTACTTCTTCCTCCACACAGTATCTGTCCTGACCCAGCTGGAGCGGGGCAACTTCTTCAGTTCAGACATCACCAAGTACTCCTTCTTCCCCTCGGTGCACGATGCYGTGGTGCACATCAGCAGGGAGCGGCGCCAGGCCTCGGTGAGCACCCAGCCTTGCTGTTCCCAGCAYGGCGATGGAGAGGGCAGCCAAACCAATCCCTCCGTGTCTGCTCCCCTTAGGTGGAACACAGCACCAGAATGTAGCCCCTCAAGAGGAAGACATCTCCCCCAGAAGCTGTGTGGGCAAGGAAGGCTTTGCCACCCTGCTGGCACCAAGTCCCCCACCCCGGGGCCCAGAGGCCCTSATCCCCACCAGCCCCTCTGGACTCWGAGCGCCRKGGCCCTGCCCTGTCCATGAGCCCACTGTGATGGGGCTGCTGCTGGACAGAGCTGCTGCTGGCTGTCATGTCGAGGAGCCACCTGGTGCCCCCATTAGCCCCAGCATGGGCCTGTCCCACTGGGCCAGGACGTGTTTTGGGGGGTGGTGGAATGCCAAGGGGTTCCTGCTCCCGGCGGTGGCTGGCATCACGAATAAAGCTATGCGGTGTTTCTCAGTGTTGGTTTCAATGTCCTTTCCTCAGTAATGGTGCTTTCGGGCCAGWCCGCCCGGTTGCACCCTGGCACCGCTGGGCACGGCCTCCCTGTGGGTGGGCTCCCTCTCACGCTTTTCTGCCGCTTCTCCCCAAGACCTGCTCCAGGCCCTTGGGGCTACAGCCGAGGGAGCAATATGGGAGGGGATCCCGTTTCAAGATACCCATCCTCCTGGATCCTTATCCCCGGGATTCCCGGCCACCATCCATTCCCCGGCACCCCGATTCCCCGGCACCCCTCCCGTGCCCGCCGCCCTCCCGCCGCCAGGGGGCGCCTCAGCCGTCCCGCCGCTGGGCGCGCTGACCGCAGCCGCACGCGCCGCCGGGCCCCGCCCCTGCGCAGGCGCACTGCGGGCTGTCGCTCGGTCGGCGGAAGAACAAGATGGCGGCGCGCTCAGTGTGCCGGGCGGGCAGTGCGGCCGGGCGAGCTCTGCTGTGGGGCCCGCGCCCCTCCGTGAGTCACCGCACCCCGCGGGGATAGCTCCGGGGGGAGTTCGGCCAGGCCGCGGGCGGCCCCGCGGTGCGGCGCGGCTGCCGTGCCCCGCCTGTGCGCCGGCCGGGAAGGTCATGGGGACGCGGCGGGCGGTGCGGGCCGGGCGGCGGTGGCTGTGGGGAGCTCCGGGCTCGGGCGGGCAGAGGGCGGCGGTGGCTGTCACTTTCACCCTGTGCGGWGCTTGTCGCGGACCCGCTGTCCGCTCCCCGCCCTGGGACTGGGGTGTGACCGGTTCGTGCGGCTCGTCCGCGGGGTTCTTCACCTGTTCAAACCTCTGGATTCCCGGCCCTGTCGAGAGGAATAGTTAGTGGTGATGACAGCTTTTATTTTTTCAGGCGGCTTTATTGACTTTGACAAGGAAGCGAGGTGCTGCCACCTAYGCCCAGACACTCCAGAATATCCCCGAGACCCAGGTCACTACCCTGGAGAATGGCCTCCGTGTAGCTTCAGAGGAGTCCAATCAGCCAACCTGCACCGTAAGTTTAACATAGGTTTGGGGCTTATTTGAAAGGGGCTTACCTAGCCTGCAGCTGGTCTTCCAAAAGGGGCAGGCCCGTGTCTGAACCAGAGCTTTTGACAGAGATCCCACTGCTTCTCTTTATGAACAGGCAGGATTAATGTAGTGGCAGGAGGTGCAGACTGGTGTTGTAGTGTCTGTAGACAAGCTTTCGTGCTGTACAAGTTTTCTCAGCCTGACAGTTTTTATATGTGCAGTAAATGATTAGTAGAAGTTATCTCTCTGGCAAAACTAGCTTTGGTGAAGCTGATAGATAAAAAGCCAAAATATGTGCAGGAAGCAGTTGCTAATTTGTTCTTATTTGGGTGTCTCTAGTGTAATGTCTGTGGAGCAGCCTTCTTGTCCCTGCTGTTATGTTTGTGTCATTGGGATGCTGATTGTTTTCTTCTCTAATGTTGGTACTCACTGGTTTTGCTGCCAGGTGGGGGTGTGGATYGAGGCTGGGAGCCGCTATGAAGATGCAAAGACCAACGGGGCTGGTTTCTTTGTGGAACACCTGGCCTTTAAGGTAAGGAGCTGGGCTACATCTGCACACAGCTGCCCTATATATTCTGTCMATGCATTGTCCTCTCACTTCGGAGGCTGTAGCTGTTTAAATAGAATGTAAATCAGGTCATCTGAGTCATAAAGACATTGCATATGTATATGTAAAAATATACAGTATAAAAATAAACCTCAAAAGGTATCTATCCTATGTGATGCTCATTGGTTGAATGTGCAGAAAATTGAAACATGCATGAATTAAGTTAACTCTTATTTACTATTTGCTTATTTTTCCTCTTGAAGGAAAAATGTTGTAATTAACAAGTGTAACACACATAGAGCATTGTGCTATGAAGCATATTTCCTCAGGGATGCAGAGAGAGCTCAAAGCAGCATTTTCTGTTGCCATTTAATTTTCTTTGCTTTTCTTACTGGTCCAGCAAAGTTTAAATGCTGCAGTTCCTGTTTTTCAAATTATGGAGGTATCTGCTGAACAGGGCAGAAGACATCTAAGCCTGGGACTTGCTGACTCAAGTTCAGCCTTCATAGGCAACTACAGCATTTGGCTAGCTCCTTAAGGGATGGACTCTGTATTAGAAGTAGATTTCTATTTGTTTTCTTCTGAATATCACTACTTGGATAGCTAGAARCCTGYTTWTTTTTGGTTTGGGYTTGTTCCTGGTTTATTTCCAAGGATGTGCTGTGCAAACACTTCATCTCAGCAGAGGTTGTCTCCTTCCCTTCTGAGTTTGTGTTGGTCAGTGATGATGATAGCCTTTATTTTTTCAGGCAGCTTTAYTGTGTTTCAATAAACTTTATTRAAAGTTGGTGTTGGTCTTTYAAAATACATGTCAGCCATCCTTTAYTGARAGGAAATAAGCCAAGTTTTAAATSTCTTGCCTTGTGCRCGTGCCCTTGGCTTTTATGAATCGCATGACAGTTTTTATTGCTTTAGGTCTTTATTGTTATTTTCATTGCTTTAATTCTGCCCTAAAGGGAARTTTGTTCATTTTATAATTGATTTTATCTGGTTTCCTTTAGGGCACAAAGAAGCGTCCTGGCTCRGCCTTTGAGAAGGAAGTGGAGAGTCTGGGTGCTCACCTGAATGGGTACACCTCTCGTGAGCAGACTGCCTTCTACATAAAGGCCYTGTCCAAGGACTTGTCCAAAGGTAGGATGGCCAGGAGCAAAGTCTAATTGGGAGGTTAAACAAGTGCATCTGCTTGTTTCTCACCCCCAAGCATTCTTTCTATCAACAGAGCAGGGACTGAAGTTGTAGCAGAGCAGTAAATTGGAGGTTCTGGTTGGTAGTTGAAGAGAGTAGTGCAGTGATGTGCTATTTTAAGGCTGTATATTCGTGTATCCCTAAACCAAGAGCACAGGTTATGTCAGGCTGCACTTCGTTGCCAGGAGAGAAGAGAGATTCAGTAGTTTGTGGTTGTTTTATGRAACTGAGAAACTGAGRTCAGTGACAGCTGCTGTGTGAGGAGTCCTCAGTGCAGCTTKTGCAGGTRYTCCTTGTGCTCTGTRTGCCACCTGCTGACTCCTGGGTCAGTTKATTTGAAGTCAGGGCCTTACTGTAGACAGGGCCTATGTGGTAGGTTGCACAAACTCTGTAAGGATTCAGTGTGTATCTGTAGCAGTACCCGCTTCTGACATGCTTCACCTTCTGCAGATGTTGCCTGCTCTCCACTGGCAGGGGTGCTTGGCAAATYGACCTGGAGACTTCTTGCCAAACCAGTGTTTGTGCATCCTAGATGCTTTGGGAATGGGTAGCACTCAGCTCTGTTTCATTGCACCCCCTCCCCAGCGTGGTTTTTGCTCACTCCTRTGTGTCTCTTCTTTCAGCAGCACTGGGTAGCAGTCAGGCAGTGGGATGCTAACATAGGAATTGTGTTGCAGCTGTAGAGCTTCTGAGCGACCTTGTGCAGAACTGTGCACTGGAGGATTCTCAGATCGAGAAGGAGCGTGGCGTCATCCTTCAGGAGTTGAAGGAAATGGATGGCAACCTGGCAGATGTCACCTTAGATTACCTTCATGCCACTGCTTACCAGGGGACTGCGCTGGCCCACACCGTTGAGGGGACCACAGAGAATATCAAGTGAGCAACAGGCTGGATGTGGTGCATAGCCCAGGGGTTTAGTCTGTGGGGTGCATGACTGCTGCTTCTTGGGTGTGGTGGCAGCACAGTGTGTCTACAGAGGTGATCTGAGCCCATGGGCTTCTCCTTGTGCCCTGACGGTGTTTTTCCCATTGCCACTGGTGAAAGCGTAATGCTCCTCACATTCTTTAGAAACCCCTTGTGCAAGCCCTTCCTGAGGCTGGAATGGAGTAATTGAACCTTCTCCCATACTTACCAGTTTGACACTGTTAGAGAAATTAGAGAGATAGAGGTGCTCATTAAACAGTGGCCTGGTATTTGCACAGGGACTGGGTTCAGTACTTTCCAGTCTGTGTTGAAATCTGTCCTTAATTCTCAATCTTAGCTGCCGGTTCCCATTCTTTGTACTGTAGAATTAGAGCATGGGGTAAACACAGTACACAGTGCAGTCTTCTAAGAAGTATTGTTACCCCACAAGAGAGAGAATCACTGCTGAATGTGCACTGTGAACTTGCTTCTCCTAAGCCTCTCATTCCTCCCAAGTTTGAGATGCTGATGTTCTGGGACTCTTTGTTCTTTCCAGGCATCTGACTCGAGCAGATCTGGCTTCGTATGTTGATACTCACTTCAAGGCACCTCGTATGGTCCTGGCAGCTGCTGGAGGCAAGTTCTACATCCTTGTGATCCTGGGTAGCCTGGGTATTTTCAAGCATGTGATCAACTGCCTGTCACACATTGCTAGTGTAAAATGAGATRATTTTGTTAAATTAGTCTGTTTTAAGATGCAAATCTCTCTCTKTCTTTGCCAGGTATTTCCCACAGAGAGCTGGTAGATGCAGCTAAGCAACACTTTGCCGGGGTGCCTTTTACATCCAAAGAGGATGTTGTGCCTGCCCTCCCACACTGCCGCTTCACAGGGAGTGAGGTAAAGTTGTTTTGGTCACCATCAAAACAAGCAGCTGTTGCCCAACTGTTCAATGAATGTGAAACYGATTACTGCAGCTTCTCAGTGGAAAAGTCTGTGTATTTCAGAGAAGTTGATGATGCACCATCTTGGTAGTGCTCCCATGTTCTGTTCTTGGGACTTACTGCCACGTGGGTTTTCRATGGGACCCAAATCAATTAG